CCCCCCCCGTCCCTTTTCATCCTGGCCTGAGGAGATGCTGACTTAGATCTCCTTCAACCGAACAAGACTGCTCCCGACGTCTCTCGCCTTCCTTCTGACCACCGGACTCTGGGTCTTTGACTGAGGCCGGAACTCCCCTCCCCCCCCCCGGTCCCTCGGAGGAGGGGGTGTGTGTTTCTATTATTAACCAAGACAGGAGGCCTCAAGGAAAGAGCTGTCTGGAAGCCGGGTGGCCCAGTTGGTGGGCTTGCCCAGGAGCTAAAGCAGAGCGCTTGGGCAGAACCGCAGGCCACCGGCCCTCCGGGTTTCACCCGCTTCCCGCACCTCTGGATCCTGGGAGAGAATTCGCTGAAGCCAAGCGAGGAGGCCAACCGACCGTCGCTAATGAAGAGCAGATGACGGCTTCCAGCCAAGCTCATTTGGGATATCGCGTTCGGATAAGCTGTTGAGTCCCACTTTCTTGGAGAACAGAATAAGAGAGTCGGGGAGGTTGCAAAACGAGGCCGAGGGAAAATTAAATCACTCAACTGTCTTGCTTAGCAGCGGCCGTAAGGCGAGGACTATCTGTAGATGATGCGGAATAAATTTCATTTTAGGACGAGAGGCTCCGATTGCTCCAAAATTTAGCTAAACGAAGCAGCCAGATTGGAAGACGGAAGCCGAAATAGACTAGGATAAACTAGATATTTGCTTAAGAAAATAATCAAAGAGAGGATTCCAAAAAAGAAAAAAAAATCAAATTAGGTTTTTTTTTTCTCTCCCCAGGGAGAGGGGGGGGCGTTTCTCTCGAAGGATGACAAGCGACGGGCCGCGTTCTCATCCGGGAAGTTCCTTAAACGAGGCTAATTGGTTCCACTTCAAACCGGAGGGTTTTTAGAAGAGGACAGTCAAAACCATCCCAAACTGACGTGCCTCGTGCTTGGCGCAACTTGGAACACCATGTTCCCTCCGCGGAGAACCGCTCGTAAATGCCACAAGGAACATCGCAACAAGCGCCTTGTGTACAGGGCGGGGCATAACCTTTTCCTAGGGGGTCACAGCAACACTTGTAATAACAACACAAATAATTCATACACCATTCGAAAGCCCATCNTACCGAGGTGCACCCACAATCGCTCGCGCGGCTGCGTTCTGGACAAGCTGAAGTCTCCGAATGCTCTTCAAGGGCTGCCTGCATGGCAGGCTGGGGAATTCTGGGAGTTGAAGTCCGGAGATCTTCAAGTGGCCAAGGTTGAGAAACACTGATCTAGAGAGTGGCATTTTTTTTTTACCTGGCTGTATAGGTTATACCGGTTGGCGTAGCTTTTGTGGAAAGTCAACTTTAGATATTGGCCAACCGCATCCACATAGACCGATTTTAATTCCCGGGCCCTGTAGCCGGTCTTTTCATTATCGGAAAGGGAGACATAACTGTAGAAGATGAAAAAAAAAAGAGAGAGAGCTTAATGCAGATTATATTTTACAAGTATTGTGAAGCCGTTGGCGCTGATGGACGCTCAATATTTTATGTCCTAAGAAAAGGATGCCTGGAGTGAGCTGCCAAGAGGTTTGTGTGTGTGTTTGTGTGTGTGTTGGATGGGCCTTTTTCAAATTACTGGCTTGAAATCCTAAACTATCCACAAATGCTCTCAAATTCCTAAGGAAAGGAGAACAAGCAGAGAGTCAGCCAGCATTCACAAACACGTCTTTTAGGATCTACGGTTGCTTATTGGGAATTGCACCTTGCTTTTACAGGCGGTCTGATCCGGAATCAGCCGGGCAAATCCCACATGCCCAATGACAACCCACTTGGTCTGGGTGACCCCCCCGATGGACTCAGGCAGGAAAACTGACGCATGTCAGGGAAGAGAAAGCTCACCCCAGCCTCTGGAATTGCTCCGTTTTATAGGGGGCAAAATAATCTGGCAGGTTTTCGCTGATGTAGAACTCAATTTTGCTGGAGATCATATATTGGTGAGCCAGGAGCTGCAGCTTTCGGATTCTGCACCTTTCCACCATCTGGAGGACTATTTCTTGGGGATACTGGCAGAGTCTGAAAATAAAGAAGAAGGGAGGTCTTTGATTTCCCATGGCAGGTTTGAAACGGAGGGAATATTTTATTACACTCAGTGACCAGGGGGAAGGAAGGGAGGGAGAAGAGAGGAAGAGAAAAGGAGAGGGAGTGAAGGAAAAAAGGGAGAAAGAGAGACAAAAGGGAGAGAAGAAAGGAGAGATAAGGAAGGAGAAAGGGAGAGAAGAAAAAGAAGCAAGGAAAATAAAATGTCAGAAACCCCCGACGTCTCTATAAAGCTAAACTGTCTGAATATACCTAATTCAATGTGGATAAATTTAACATTACATAACATACTGTAGCCACAGGACTCTAAAAACCAAGAAAGCTAAAGATAAATGCATGAAATTTATGATTTATGAGGAAGCTTTCTTGGCTGACTGCTTTAGAAATCCTGGGCTTAAAATTATGACCTTTTCAACATTCTGATCTCCTAATAGTAGAGATGAAGACACGCTGCTCAAGTTTTAAAAACCCTCTGACTGACAGCTTGTAACTTTTTCTAGTTGCTTTATATTGTCCATTTTTTTTGAGGGGGGGGGGAGAGAAGAAGCTTCTTTTGAACAGTGGAAAACAAGGGGGGGGCTGCATATAAATCTTATTTATTTAAATCAAAGGAAAATCTCACATGGAATATCTAGAATTTCTTAGGGCCTGACCTTGGCGACCTCCATCCGTTGACCGCTGGCGCATGAACCATCAGTTCCTTGGCACTGAAGCCGTCCTCGTGTCCAGATGAACTTATAACAATAAACCCAATCTTGTGTGGCATCCTGCCCTCTTGTGCTAACTAGGAAGAAAGAACAGGCTGCTTTTTACAAGAAGGAGAACGATTACGGCGTTGTAACTCTGCGCTCTGAACCGCAAGCAACTTTGAAAGTTAGTCAAAGATCCATCTCAAACATTCGCATTTGCTGCCTCCTACTTAGCGATCTTATCCAGTCTGTTTATACAACTGCCCAACTCAATTGGCAACTGTGGGAAACAAACCAGGATAAAAGAAAAGAAAAAAACAGAAGACAGGGCCCTTCACACATTTGGGGCCTCTGGCCTGGGCACACGTATCTGCATTTTGTGTATTTGCACCCAATGGATTTGATTGATTGATTTATTACATTTATATGCCGCCCTTTTCCCCGAAGGGGACTCATTTGCGTATTATTGTGAGTCACCCAGAGGTGCTTTGAAAATATAAATAAATAAATTGCATGTATTGGGTCTGCATGCACATGTGTTTTACATGTATTGTGTTTGCACTCACTGTGCAATGGTGTTTCCACCATTTCACGTGGAATGGCATGTTTTATTTATTTATTTGAGTGGCCTAGTTGGTGAAGATGCCCGCCTCCCACTCGTGAAGGTTGGGACTTCAATCTTAGGTAGCAAGCAGATATTTTTCTCTCTCTGCGGCTCAAGAGGAAAATATCTGCTGCCAACTCCGCACAGGCATCAGGAAGGGCATCCGGCCAGTAAATCTCCACCCAGCTGCCCCAAATCTACCCTGAATTACAACTACAGGGTCGTAAAAAGGGGGAGAAACATTTTGTCAGCCTCTGCTTTGCTGTTGCTTTCGACTGCCATGAAACGGGGAGGGAGGGCATGGTATTTGGGAGGGGTTACTAATTGTGCTGGAGGAAGNGAAGCCGGAAAGAGTCGGCCCAAACTTACATTGATCTTGGGGAATCCCTCCGCAGCGATGGGAGCTGCCTGGGCCGGTGGGGGGGAGACCACCTGAGAGGGGCCCGGCTCAGGCGAGGGGATTTCGGGGGGCTTCTCGGAGTGCAGCGGAGAGGCAGGGCTCTCTGGCTCGGCTTTCTCCCGCCAGGGGGACGGCAGGGGCTTCTTCTGCTGGAGGGTCGTGGTGGGCTGAGCCACGGGGTCGAGCGGCAAGTCAGGTATTCGCCGGATCTGAGTGAACGAGAGGAATTCACCCAACCCTTCATTCCTTCGTTCCTCCCTTCTGCTTCTCAGAAAACCCCAAGGAAGAGACAATGCAAAGTCTCTGATTGCAGAGAAAGGGATTAGAAGGGAGTAAGCACGCTGCAATGGGGATACACATCAAGAGGAAGGCATTAGAATTGGGAGTTCAAGCCCACACATCTTCACGCTGCCAAGGCTGAGAAACCCTGGTTATCACGTTTACTGTGGCACACGGTGCCCCCCCCTCCTCCCCCAGTGCCTATTTCTCTGCCACCCAGGTTCTTCTAATAGGTTCTGGGAGTTGAAGTCCACTTATCTTCAAGCGGCCAAATTCGAACCCAAAGTGGACCTTCCAAATCCTATAAATCCCAACCCCCGATCAGTCTTCAGAGAGAACAGCTTTTAATGGGGGTGGGGATTCCCCAGGATCCCAAACAGCTGGCTTCCAGAGGTGCCCGGGGGATTCCTTCCCAGGGGTGCTCCACTCACGGCGAGCTCTGGGTCCAGGAGGTTATGAAGCTCCAACTGCTGGTAGACCTTCAGACGATAGTCCTCCATCTGCTGCTTCTTCTGCTTGGCCAAGTCGTAGTCCTCCTTCTTGACGGCGCACCGTTTCTCCACCTCGTAGCGCCCCAGCCGCTCCCCGACCTGAAACATGAGCCCGGCACGGAGGCAATCGGTCGCGAGAGAGAAAGCCTCTGAAGCACAGGGAGAGCGAGCGAGTGCCCGGATGTCCGAGGGATAATTAAATGAATGAATTGGCCACCATTCATCAGGTCTGCATTCAAAGCCATGAGAAACTAAACCACGATTGGTTTAAGAAACCGGGTTACCCCAACCCAACAGGAAGAGCTTTTGATATTCAACACCCAGAAGGGGGACAAAAAAACCTTCCCACATTTCGGCCCTATGGAATGAGCTACCCCCCCAGAGATCCGGACCCTACCCACTCTCATACTCGGCCGCCACTACCTTCTGGAGGTCCGCGATGGCCTGCTTGAGCTTCTTGGCGTGGTCGTAGTGCTCCATGTGCACCGCTTCGTGCTTCTTCTCATCCAGCTTCCGGATGATCTGGGCCACTTCCGGATCCTGGTACATGTCAAAAGCCAGATCGTCCAGCGGAGAAATGGCGTCGGCCTTCCTGGAATGAAGGGGGAGAATGGCAGCCTGGGACGGTGGCCGGGTGCCCACGGTGGGCGGGCGGGTGTGGGTAAGGGAGGGGAGGGAAACGGGCACGGAGAGGCTTCCCCGTGAGGCCGTTCTCACCCAGGGTAGCTCCCCTCGAGGGCCGAGTCCTCCGAATTGGTGCCTAGGTAATGGTCGATCAGCTTCTCCCTGGAAGACTAGAGAACGAAACCACAACAGGTGGAATTTTTGACCGGAAGGGGGGCAGCAACACCAAAATGCAGGCAGATCTCCACAGAACAATCATATGTTTAGTGCTGTGTTTCTCAACCTTGGCCACTTGAAGATGTCCGGACTTCAACTCCCAGAATTCCCCAGCCAGCAAATGCTGGCTGGGGAATTCTGGGTGTTGAAGTCCGGACATCTTCAAGTGGCCAAGGTTGAGAAACACTGTTTTAGTGACTGTTTGAAGTCACAAGGGCACTGAAAAAAACGTGATTTACGACCATTTTCACACTTATAACCACATCGGCATCTCCATGGGTCGTGTGATCAAAATTCAGACGCTTGGCAACCGACTCATACTTATGACGGACGCAGCGTCCCGTGATCCCCTTTTGCCACCTTCTGACCGGCGAAATCAACGGGGGGAGCCCGATTCGCTTAACGAACCGTGCTGCTGACTTAAACACTGCAGGGATTCACTGAACGACTGTGGCAAGAAAGGTGGTAAAATGGGGCAAAACTCACTTGAGAACTATCTCGCCCAGCAACATTGAGCTCAATTGTGGTCGTAGGTCGAAGGACTAGCTTTAGTCCTCGTATACAGGTGGTCCTTGAGTTACAGCCTCTACATCTGTACACCTGTATCAAGGGCCACCTCTGCACCTTGAGCTGCGACTGTAATGGAGTCTGCCTGTCAGAGTCGTAACTTAGGATGGTTGAAAATCTTTAATTGGGGTGGGGAAGGAGGGGGGTAAACAGACCTACCTGGCTGTTCTCATGGCTCAAATCCGCAGGTTCCCCAATGATATTTATTGCCACGAGAGCAACCTGGCAAAAGAAGAGGGAGAAAGGGAGAGCGGAGGTCTTTTTTCTTTCAAGAGAACAAGAGAAGAATCCAAGGGGCAACAAAAACAGAGTTTAACCACTTCCCAGCCAGTCTGCTTTTAATGATCCACGTAGGAAGGTAAACTTTTACATCCTATGTTAATTATTTTTATAATAAGGAACTTAATAATTTGTATTTTTTACAGGCACGTTGTGGACCCTACAGACAGGTTCTCTCTGGCCATTCAAAACCAGAATACTACTATCAACTTCCAATGATTTTTATACGGTCTTCCCTTAGCGTTTCACAGCCTGGGCAACTTTGAGACATGTGGACTTTAACTCCAAATTCCCTGGCACCACCGCATTCTTTCCGATATCCCCACAGTGTCCTCTCTTAGAATCCCTTTCTCTGCAATCTCTCTACTCTGGTGGGCGGAAA